ATTTTCCTTCCTCTCCATATCTCCCTCCGACCTCTTCTCCTATCCCAATATTAATGCAAGAAAGTTTTCCATTGTTATATGCAGCTTCATTTCTTCTTTGTCTCTTAAGGGTAGTTCTCAGGTGGAAAATATTGAAGAACACTGACCCAGATAGTTCTTAAAGATCTAAATTTGAATGAACTGCTGAATCCCCAGATTTAGAAATATGTAATTCTTTCTACTTATAAAAAATAAATAAAATCTAAAAGTGTGTTGAATTATAATCACTTCATGCTAAGACAGAGTCAGATCAGATCTCAAGGGAAATTCATTAGCCATTCAATTATAAAACTTTCAACAGAGAGCCCAGTAATGTAATATTAACTAAAATAACACTAGTTACATTTATTAAGAATTTGCTAGGTGCTAGACACTGTTCTTAGTGTTTCATAAGGTTTTCTAAAAGAAAATCCCTATCAGTACAATTTTAAGATACGATATGTAATTAGTACTTGTGCTTATAATATATTGAATTTGTGTCTTTTTCATTATTTTGTTTGATGCTATATTGTCCTGGACTGGGAAATGATTACTTCACACCTGACATTCACAACAGAGAAATTCAGTGGGTTACTAAAGGTACCACACTAACACAGTGACAGGCCCTCTCTGAGTTCAGGTACTCTCACTATTTCCCAAACTCCAATCATTCATGTATTGCTGTTTTAATTACTGCTATATCTATACTAGTAGTTGCTTATTACCTTTACATTGATTTCCTCTTTTTAAAATTAAACTTATTTTTCAAAGAAACATCTAAAAAGTGGAAAACCAATATTATTTGCCATAAAAAAAATGTACCTAGAAAAATAAAGTCAATAAAACACAGCAGTATTATGAAATTCTCATTAGATATTATGGCCTGGTGGCACTCCTGGGCCTAGGGCCTGCACTTGCTCTGTTAAAAAGGTAAACCCAGCAAGTGAGATGTAAATGTGAAACAGTCAGCTTTCTCCTTGTCTTAAACAGAACGGCTGATGAAAAGGTTGGAAGAGTACTGAGAAAACAAAACAATTTTCTCACTGTACTTTTTCAATGAAACGTAATATTGTACCAGGTATCATCCAAAGAAACTTTCAATAGCCTGTAATGGTGTTGCCTATCATTCAGATGCAAGTCCCAAAATATTCTAGAAAACACTCCAAAATGATTTGGAAGTTCCCTAAATGGTCTCTGGGGTCGCACAGAGTCGGACAAGACTGAAGCGACTTAGCAGCAGCAAATGATCTCCTATTACTTTTATTTTGTTCTCAGAATCTCAAAAGTAATTTTCTTTCTCTCAAGACATGCCCCAATATGCTTATTAATCAATATCAAGAAATATTAAGTTGGTAGAAATAGAAATTATTATTAACCAAAAACTCATTTTCAGAAGGCAAATATTAAGGGGATGAAGGCAGTACTGATCTAGAAGCATAATAAAGTTCAATCAAATACCATCTTGCTTGAACTTGAACAGGTCAGTAAACCACTCAGATATTTTCTCATTTGCAAAAACAGGGAAAACACTACCCACCTACAGGGTGGAAACACGGATTACAACAAGAGGAGTGGAAGTGGTTGTCACAACACTCAGCAAATGTTACTTGGATCAAAGTTGCATATGACTGTTTATTATAACTTTAAAAAAACCCAAGTGTTTTTATTTTAATAAAAGACATAAATTTGTTTTACCTTAGTAAGCCTGAGTCACTATTGCTGTTTCAAATATTACATTGAAAATTAAAGCGAATCTGAAGATTCTTCTGAGAGCCTAAAATGCTCCAGAAAAACTGCAAAACCCTATGTGACTACTCTTCATTTGGTCCAAAGTCTATTCAAGTCCTTACTGGGGAAAAAAAAAAAGAAATTAACATGGCAAATATTATTAGTATATTAAATAATTTTCCACATGAACATTATCTGAATACATTTTATGGTAATTTGAAATAAGTTTAGTGATCCTTTCTTTACACAGGGCCAAAGTGCTAAATAGATAGCTAAAATTATAGTGCCACCTAGAGGCAAAGAAAATACTGTCAATGATGGTACACTTTTAATGCTTTCATATTTTCTAATTGCTACCCAATGTTTAAAAGAAAATTGGGATTTAATTATTTAGTAATTCACTTTCAGATTATATTTACAAGATATAATTTATCATATAAAAGTTAAAACATTATTTCTAATTTTTTTTTTACTACTTAATACAGCATCATTTCATTTTCAATGAACATTAGGTAATAAAGGTAATTTTGAAAATCCACAGTACAACAATCTGCAATTTTTGTGTCCTGAATTTATTAATTATTAAAATATATAAAGACAAAACAGGAACCTTCTAGTATTAAAAAAATCCCAAACATTCTATGATCTTAACAGAATGACCTTTTCATTTCTTTCTGTTCCCTTCCAAACCTGGATTTGTGGACATTTTATTTAACAGCAACTAAGTGCTAGGCACTTTTCTAAGCTGCTTTACATACATTAACTCAGAAAATCATCACAATAATCCTAAGAGGTATGTTTATTACCATCCCTGTTTTTATAGAAGTTGAAACTGAAACACACACTCGTAAGGCCCCACTGCTGTAAGTGGCAGAGCCAAGCTTCAAACCAGAGGAGTTTGTCTCCAGTATCCACGCTTTTAATCACTATTCTGAAGTGCCCCTCCTGTGTAAAAGCTGCATTTAGTGTATACACTCCATTTGTGTTTTACATATACTTTTGAGGGGCAATATTTTCTCACATACATAAAACCTTCATTTTTAATACCTACATGTTTTGCAATCAAACTGTTCCATCTCGTTTTACTTTAGGTTAGCTAATGCTAGACTTTCAAACTGATTCTTTCTATATATAAAAATGTTACACTAAGCAAATTCACATTGCATATAGTTTTTTTCTTCTTTTGAATTTTATTTCCTTATGTTAATATGTCCAAAATGGTTTCACTGACTTAAATATATGAAAGCACCACATTACTAACATATAATACTCTACAGTATTTTAAATTTAAATCATTATGTAATGCTACCAGCAATAAAAGAATGCTCAGATTTTTCCAATCAGTATATTCCATTTCCTCCCAAATTCAACTGATATAAAGTGGTTAAAGAGATCTGTCACATGGAATAGTTAAACTAACAAATATTTAGAATTGAAAAAGACACAGTACCCCAATGTTCACTGCAGCACTATTTACAATAGCCAGGACATGGAATCAACCTAGATGTCCATCAGCAGATGAATGGATAAGAAAGCTGTAGTACATATACACCATGGATTATTACTCAGCTATTAAAAAGAGTGCACTGGAGTCAGTCCTAATGAGGTGGATGAAACTGGATCCTATTACATAGAGTGAGGTAAGTAAGAAAGAGAAACACAACTACAGTATATTAACATATATATATGGAATTTAGAAAGATGGTGATGATGACCCTATATGCGAGACAGAGAAAGAGACACAGATGTAAAGAACAGACTTTTAGACTCTGTGGGAGAAGGCGAGGGTGGGATGATTTGAGAGAATAGCATTGAAACATGTATATTACCATGTGTAAAACAGATGACCAGTGCAAGTTCATTGCATGAAGCAGGGCACCCAAAGCCAGTGCTGTGGGACAATCCAGAGGGATGAAGTGAGGAGGGAGGGGGAGGGGGTTCAAGATGGGGGGACACACATGTACACCTATGGCTGATTCATGTCAATGTATGGCAAAAACTATATTGCAAAGTAATTATCCTCCAATTAAAATAAATAAATGAATAAATTTAAAACATATTTAAATTTCAGAATGGGTAAAATGTTTTCTTCCTCTAGAAACATTAAAAAGGTGGAGATAATTCTATTAGGTGTTGTTTATGAGGTTGGTACCATCTTGATTCCTTAAATGAGCCTCAAAAAGAATCAATAACACTCAGTCATTAGTAAGTGTCAGAGCTGGAGTCTGAGCACAGACCTGACTCTAAAAATTTATGTTCTAGATGACAGAACAAAAATTACAAAAAAGTGGGGGGCTCAGTATATGTCAAAATAAAGAAACTGTATAAAAATTTATTTCAATGTTCATTAAAGATCATTTATTTCATAAAGGGGATATCATACTAATACTACCCTGGAATCAGTTCAGTTTAGTTCAGTCGCTCAGTCGTGTCCGGCTCTTTGTGACCTCATGAACCGCAGCACACCAGGCCTCCCTGTTCATCACCAACTCCCAGAGTCCACCCAAACCCATGTCCATTGAGTCGGTGATGCCATCCAACCATCTCATCCTCTGTCGTCCCCTTCTCCTCCTGCCATCAGTCTTTCCCAGCATCAGGGTCTTTTCAAATGAGTGAGCTCTTCGCATCAGGTGGCCAAAGTACTGGAGTTTCAGCTTCAACATCAGTCCTTCCAATGAACACCCAGGACTGATCTCCTTTAGGATGGACTGCTTGGATCTCCTTGCATATCATATTAATAAATAGAGAGAGAACATTTTCCTGAAGTACTCTGATCAATGCTTTCAAAAATAGAAAAGAATGGCACTAATTAACAAAATGCTTCATCTTTCTCTCCAACCATACGTTTTCATTACAACTTAGTTTAATCTACATTTTAAGCAAGGAGTCTGGGGATATAAACATTACTCCAAAAGTTTTTCTTTAATGTTACCTTCTTTAATGTTATCTTGCAGTATGCTCCTAATAGTCCAGAAAGATTTTAACTTTTATAGCACAGAATAAAGGTCATCGAGACATTAGATAATAGAAAAAAACAAAGGCTTTGGAGTCTTAAGTTCAGATCTTGCCACTTACTAGCTATATGTCCTCTTCAATGTGAGTAACAAATTCCTACTTCATTGGGATGGTGTGCAATTAAAGGAGATAACAATGATAAAGCTCCTAGAACATGGTAGACACTCAAGAAGTTTTAGCTCCCTTTTCACTTTCCTTTAAAAAGTGGCACACACATGACTATATCAAGGGTGTCAGTTTTAAAAGTCATGCTTCATTATTTCCCTCAGACAAACTGTAGCATAACACGAAGCATCAAGATCAAAAGAGATCAAAAGGGATAAAGTTGCTTCATCGATGTGGGAACCTTCCTTCTTGACATCAGTACCATGGTCTTCCATCAGCTGGTATGAGAGATTACAGGGACGTTTCAAAATCTTCCTATAGCACCCTGGAACATTCAGTTTCAGGGTAGGTATTTTAAATTTACATGTCTGTAGTCCATCTCTGCTGAGTACTTCCTGGTACCACTGCCCTAATTTGTTTTTCGGGTACTGAATATTGTATCCAAGCACTGGAAGAACCACCTATGCAAGGGAAGGGGAAAAAAAGATACATGAAACAGCCTTCAGAAAAACATATGATCATTTCTCTCTTTTTTTGGCCACCCTGCACAGCACATGGGATCTTACTTCCTTAACAAAGGATTGAACACGCACTCCCTGCAGTGGAAGTATGGAGTCTTGAACACTGGACTGCCAGAGAAGTCCATATGCAATCATATTTTAAATTTACTTCTAAGACTGGGACTTGACTATGTAAAAACACACTCAGAATACAAACATTATAATCGGTCTACAACAGGCTACTGGATAGTACACTATTTTGATTCTTTTTAATGCTGCCAGGCAAAAAGAAGAGCTAACTGAAATCAAGAAGGATTCTTAGTTAACAAGGTAACCAACTCAAGTCAGATATTATTTGACAAATTGCTGTTAAGGTATAAGAAATGGAACAAGAAGTTGAGGTACATCTAATTACCCAACAGATTTAATCTTTGTGCAGTCATACAATGCTAAAAGCATATTCTTTCTGGAACAAAAAGAATAATCCATACTGCTCCATCACATAAAACTTGACAATTTTACATTTTCCTTGCTTACTTATTAATAAAAACATGAAAGCACACAAGAAGCTGCAAGATTAATTTCTATTTTCTCAGCTGCTCATGAGTAAACTACATTTTGTGGAGGTTTCCTCCTTTGCTGATGACTTCTAGATATTTTCCCTTTAACTGGAACCAACATGTAGTCAGGAAAAGGCACAAGGTAAAAAACTCAATTACACACAACATGAAAATTTCAAATTCATTATGCTCATTGGAAGAAGCCAGACACAAAAAATCACATATATTTTATGAATCCATTTCAATGGCCTTCTTTCAAAGGCAAAACTATAGGACAGAAAATAGCTGAGTTGGGGCTGAGGCAGGGGTGAGAGGTGACACAAAGGGGCACGGAAGTTTGAGGGAGACAGGAAACTTCTTTATCTTGATTCTTGTGGTAGTCATATGATTGTCTACATTTATCAAAACTCATAGAACTATAAACTAAGAAGTGTACTTTATTTTATATATAAAGTATATCTGAATAAAAAGTGGTAGAAAAAAGGAGGTGGGGAGGAGAAACGATTAGTATATTGTATTTTCAGCACAATGTCTACATTTAAATCTAAATGATACTAGTTTTTAAGCAAGTTTACCTGATGTATTGCATATGTGTTAGCTGATTCCTCTTCTTCGGTTACTAGATGAACCTATTTTTTAAAAACATGATGAAAATACAGATGATTCTCAAATGTTCCAAATTCCCTCAACTTTTCTTAACTCTGTTATGTATAATACAACTTCTTAACTGAATATACTCATACTCAAATAAGATCTTTTCACAGCTTGTTTCTATAGGAGCAGACTACTTAAAAATGAGAATGATTCTGCTTGCTTTAACCCGATAACTGCAGGGGAAACAGACTGGGGCAGCTTATCACTCTGAAGCAACACCTTCACCTCAGTTACCAATCATCTTTTTCTAAATCACAAAGTATTTTTTTTTTATTACACTGAATCAAAAATCTGTTTCCATGAAATCCCTCTCCAACCTCTGTCCCCAACAGGTATCACTACGAGAACTAGTGTTTCTGAAAATGTGTTTCATAGACTAGTAATAATTGTCACACGTACATGAGAAAAAAAAGAAGTGAATGGTAAGTTTGAGAAATGTTGCTCTAGGATGCAGAATAAATAATTCTGATTTCTCTGAGACATGAAAGCTCAAAAGTATAAAGGCAGCTACCATCACTCCATGAGGATTAACACAGTCTCATTTTCCTAAAGCATTCACCATATAATGCCTAGATCTTCTCTAAACTTGCTTGCTTTCCCAATTCTCCCTACTCAGATCAATAATATCCCTCCATTTTGGTTTTTCATTTTGGGTTTATTTGTTTGTTTACATGTTAAGAACCCATTTTAACTGCTGCATTCAGAAATGGACATAATACTCTAGATGTGATCTGACCAAAATACATAGGGCTATGATCTCTCTTGCATCATCAATTCCAGCTCTTTGCCTTTCACAAAGTCATAACCATTCCTAAAATACTACAATTTAAGCAATTTGTGAAAATATTGAACAAACATTTTCAAGTACAAAACACTGTAGCTCTCTTTAAAGAGCTCCCTCCATGCTGATATCAACTGATGAATTAACCATTCTTTTGTCATATGGCAGCTCCACAAAGATGAATTCACCTGATTTTCCCATTATGCAATTCACATTTCTCCATCTTACTCACAAAAAAATTATGAGAATCTGCCAAGTCACCTGAAATTAAGCTACATCTGTAGGCCTAGTACTGTTGCCTGGAAAATCCCATGGACGGAGGAGCCTGGTAGGCTGCAGTCCATGGGGCCGCTAAGAGTCAGACAAGACTGAGCAACTTCACTTTCACTTTTCACTTTCATGAGCTGGAGAAGGAAATGGCAACCCACTCCAGTGTTCTTGTCTGGAGAATCCCAGGGACAGGGGAGCCTGGTGGGCTGCCGTCTATGGGGTTGCACAGAGTCAGACACGACTGAAGCGACTTAGCAGCAGCAGCAGCAGCAGGCCTAGTAATTCTATCAAAAAGGGACTCAGATTAGTTTCCTATAGTTTTTAATGTAGATGCGCAACATGAAATATTCTACAAATATTAATTTGTCTTTTCCTTTTCCATATTTTCCATATTTTATGTCCTGAGCCTCGAATTCTTGCCTTTTCTTTTCTCAGTGCTAATTAATAAAGTATAAATAATCGATTTTAAAAATATAGATATCTTTTGCTGCTAATAAAAGGAAACTCTGTAAAATGTGAAAGAGAAAATGTTTTCTTTTCTCCTATATCTCCTGAAGGAAAAGCAGACAAAATCCTGATCACAAAAATATCCTTGCAAATGTTATCTGGAACAAAGTCTTATGAGACACATGCATTATGAGACATACAGATTATTGCTATATCTTGTCAAAGTAAACTTGAACTTCTGAAAATCTGCATTAGAAATGGCTGACTTACTAAATAATGTGTTGCCAAGAAATTAAAAGGACATGTTTTCTGAAAAGTATTAAAAATGGAACCAACAGACATAGCTCTTCTTCCATTTATATGAGGTAAAATAAAACCTAAGCTGTTGCTAGATTTCTTTTTATGCAGTTTCAGGATCTGTGTCTCAGTTAAATGACCATTCTTAATGAAGCTCCTAGTGATCACTTTTTTTTTTCTCTTAATTTTTCTTAGATTTTATTGTTTGACTGTGCCGGGTCTTACTTATGGCACGCCAAGATCTTCGATCTTGTTGCAGCGAGCAGGATCTTTATTGCGGCATGAGAACTCCTAGTTGCGGTATGTGGAATCTAATTCCCTGACCAGGGATGGAACCAGGCTCCCTGCCTTGGGAGCACAGTCTTAGACCCTGGATCACCAGGGAAGTCCCTCACTTTCTTATGTAAATATTCACAAGCCTTTCATTCAATAGCATAGTGAAGCAGACCTCTTTGTTCTGGCTCACTCATCACTCAGCCTTGACTCCTTTTCTGGTAGTGTATTTGCAATTTCCTGGGAGCTTCCCTCCCAGTTCTTGATTGTGGTTTGGGTGGGATGGCTGCAGGAAGGAGTTCTTGGAACAGAGGCTTTGCCAATCACACACTGCAGTCCACAGTAACTGGTCTGGGGATGTGGAATACACACTAAGCCATTCTGAGACTCAATTCCATGGCTTTGACTGAAACTGTTGGGAAATAAAGGACTTCTTTTCTGAAGAAGAAACAGAATGGATCTAACAGAGAGGAAAGCAGAGCTGAAAGATGAAGAAAATGAGATGGATGATTTAGGACACTGCTTTAGCCCCTTGATACAGCTGTACCTGAATCAATCATGGACTTTCAGTTATGAGGGCCAAGAAATTCTTGTCTGCTTTCCTTAAGTTAGTCTGAGGTAGGCTTCTATCACTTGAAACAAACAAACAACAACAAAAAGTCCTAACTTATACATCTAAAACTCTGCTGTTAATTTAGATAAATCATCCTTTATGGTAAATTCAGTCTATTTTTTCTCCATTTTTGAAAAATAGGACCATGCCCTATCTCCGCATGCTGACACTTTTCTATACCCATGATTTCTCTAGTAGAGACCAAGCTGGGCTAGGAATGAGACAACTAGGTCTTCTGAATTCTGCTACCTACACCACTTAACCTGTCTCCTCTCCAGCCTGGGTCTCAATTTTCATTTCTATGAAATGGGAATTAGAAAAGAAGTGTCTAAAATATTTTTCTCCCCTAAAGTTCAATGATTTTATGTTATATACAAAAGCACTACGCAAATCCCTTCATTAATTTCTAAAATATATTTTTGAGATTGAATTAAGATAATGATGAATAGTCTCCTCTTTTGGCATTACAATGCTATAAAATGAATTTCTTTATGTGATTTACAGAATTCAATTTCATTATTTAGGTCAAGTCCACAGATATTAAAATACCATAAAAATACTAGTTGGAAACACCAATATCCAAAATATCCAAAATACCACGGAGGAAATGGAAGGATCAATTTTATAAGACAAATTATATTTCATTAATATAAATGTCTCTAAGATACTGTTAAGAGAGAAAAAAACAAATTGTAAAACCACACTTACATAAAAGAAATGACATTTCATATCCTATATAGCATTATTATAGAAATTTCATTCTTTTTCCTTCTCATAGTTTGACTTTCGAGTCTCAAAATTCTGTATGCTTTTTTCATTGTTAACAAACAATAAAAATCCACTTTCTGTGGATATTTATGGGAAAGCATAGAAAATGGTCTAGAAGGAAATATGCCAAAAGAGATTTTCTGACAGTGGCAGAGGAAATCACAATAAAGTGGTGGCAGGAATGACATCTCCATCTGCACTGTTTTGATTTTGATTTTTAAGGAGCCTGTTCCATGCATTGGGTGGGTGCTCAGTTGCTCAGTCTTATCTGACTCTTTGCAACCCCACCTTCTGTAGCCCACCAGGCTCCTCTGTCCATGCGATTCTCCAGGCAAGAATACTGGAGTGGGCTGCCGTTTCTTCCTCCAGGGGATCTTCCCCACCTGGGCATGGAAACTGTGTCTACTGCATCTCCTGCATTGGCAGGCGGATGATTTTACCAATGAGCCACTTGGGAAGCCTGATTCAAGAATTGCTTGTGTAGTTTTCTAAAGAACGTGTTCTTTTAAGGAAGGCTTACTATCTTTATAACTCTCACTTCATACCACTGACCATTTTTATACTTCTATTTAATGGCATGTTAAGTGTCAGCTGTCAGCAGAGTAGAAGTCGATGAGCAAATACACATTTATCTGAAAGAGACACGTGCACCCCAATGTTCATCGCAGCACTGTTTATAATAGCCAGGACATGGAAGCAACCTAGATGCCCATCAACAGACGAATGGATAAGGAAGCTGTGGTACATATACACCATGGAATATTACTCAGCCGTTAAAAAGAATTCATTTGAATCAGTTCTAATGAGATGGATGAAACTGGAGCTCATTATACAGAGTGAAGTAAACCAGAAAGATAAAGAACATTACAGCATACTAACACATATATATGGAATTTAGAAAGATGGTAATGATAACCTTATATGCAAAACAGAAAAAAAGACACAGATGTACAGAACAGACTTTTGGACTCTGTGGGAGAAGGCGAGGGTGGGATGTTTCGAGAGAACAGCATCGAAATATGTACATTATCTAGGGTGAAACAGATCACCAGCCCAGGTTGGATGCATGAGACAAGTGCTCGGGCCTGGTGCACTGGGAAGACCCAGAGGGATCGGGCGGAGAGGGAGGTGGGAGGCGGGGTCGGGATGGGGAATACATGTAACTCCACGGCTGATTCATGTCAATGTATGACAAAAACCACTACAATATTGTAAAGTAATTAGCCTCCAACGAATAAAAATAAATAAATAAAATAAAAAATTTTAAAAAGCATGTTTAGTTTTACATTTTTTCTAAAATAAGAGTTTCTGAAAATAAGTGCTCCTGGTACATAACTACTCTTGATGAAATGATACTTACTTTACTACTCGGTAATTGCTCATTGTCAACATCTTCATCCAAACAGACCAAGTCACCCTCCACAACTCTTGAGCCATAAGTTGCAAGTCTGTAAGATACTGCTTCATTCCAGATCTTGCTGCTGTATGCGTGAAGGTAGAATATGCGCATAGAATGGGGGAAGGAGAACCACGCCTGGATGCAGCCCTCCTCTGTTACGCCAAAGCGGTGCAGTGACTCTAGCAGTGCTCTCTCCCGAACTTTGAATTCGGGCATCAGTGAAAGTGTGCCTTTAGCATCCTCTGAAACAAAGGGATCAATCAGTTCTTTTTATTCAAGGCCAGTTATTAAGAGCTTTACCACACTCTCTAAATGAATTGAGCTATCCTGGGAACCTGCATATGAAGATGAGGCTCAGCACCAACTATAAACCAGAGCTACATTTGAAGGGGTTTTTTGTTTGTTAAAAATCATTACTCTTAGTTCATTCACTTTTCCTGTTTTAAAAAGAGCACATTAGTAACTCCAACTTCAAGATGGAGATAACTAATTTGCAGTTATTTAGAACACTTTTTTAAAAAGCATTATATAAGTCCCTGAGCTGAGATTTTAAAGAGCTCTTATGGACGTTTTACAGGATTTTTTACATAAGAAAGGGCTGACATCTGGATCCTTCAAGTATACCATTCAGTCATTCTACTATTCAGCATGCTTTTAAAAATTAGATTACTGGACTCCATGGCAAAGCTGCTTATTCAGGTAGGGCCTTGGAGTAAGCGTTTTAACAAATGCACCAGGTTTCTTGCACACACTAAAGTTTAACAATCACTGCCATAAGGAAATTATTTTCTCAGGACCCACAATAGATGTAATTTTGAACTTTGTTTTAGTATTACTTAGATTATTCATAACAATGTGAAATGCTCATATGGTTTACAGATTTGGGTGTGGCATAAAAATATTTTTCACCTATTAATCATTATATATATAATATGTACATAATTAAAAATGGAGATATTAGAAACTGATGTCCTTTATTTCTATGCAAGTGAAATTTAATATGCACATATATGTTGATCATATATTTAATGAATCTAAAATCTTATGGTTGCTGTTACTACTTACATACACATAATATTTATTCAGTATTCAGAATAAGCCAGGCACTATTTTAAGAGCATTAAATCTATTATTTTATTTAAATATTAACAGTCTTTTAGGTATCATTATTAGCTTCAATTTGCAGATGAAGAAACTAAAACAATGAGGCTAAATCACTTGCATGAGACTATATGCTGGGAAGTACTAAAGTTGATTATTAAACCCATGTAGATTGACTCTAGAACCACACTCATAACAAATTTTTTTTAGTGCTTCTCATTAAGTATTCTACATATACTGAGCTAAAGTTTTCAAAATTAGCAATCAGGGCTAAATGGAAACTAGATCAAAAACAATGCACAAAGTACCAGATGTAACAAATATACTTTTATGTAGTTTATTTTTCAGTCTCCTGAGTGCAGGGAATTATACTTCTATCCATGCCAGTTTAGAATTGGGAACTCTATCTTTTTTGAGGATTTAGGCCAAGAAAAACTCATAAAGCATCTTTCCCCTCACCCAACCCCGAAGCAAGAGTTATACAAAAGTCCCATAAAAATGGAGTACCTAGGACACATAATAAAAATGCTTAAATATACAATATATTACAGTCTATTTACTATCACATTTATGTTGTAATGAATGCTATCCTGATGATATAACACTTGTATATCTGCCTAGCTATATATGAGGTAAAGAAACTTCTAAAGTACCAGTCTGAAGAAAATATTTCTTTGCTCTATTTACAGGATCATCCAAATCTTCTGGTGTAAAAAACAATTTTACAGCCTTCACCTTTAAAGACCAAACAAGCAAATATGTGTTAGATGAAAATGACAAATTACTTACTTTAAAAAAAAAAAGGATAGAATAGGCATTTAATATGATATTTGACATGGCAATTCTATCTTTAAGCATTCATAAGCTAAACAATTTAGAATTAACCTCCAGTGCAAGGCAACCTAATACACAGATTTAAAATCTTATGGACTGGAAAAGTGGTCGACACAACTTCCATAGATCTTATTCTGTCATTTTTTGCCTCTATCATAGAAGTAAGAACACAGTATTAACTGATGACATAAAACTCAGGCTTATCCAACACACACAACAAAAAAAGGGGAGAGAACAAGCATAGGTAAGTGGCAAGCTACTAACTTCATTTGTGTTCTCAAGTTTCAGAACTCTTTGTCTTTGGTCTTAAAAATAAATTTTTTAAAAATAAATGTAAATAAAAGTTTTTAAAACTCCCAACTTTAATATTTTCTTTTAAAACATAAACAAATTAAAAGATGTTCCTTTAAAAAAAAAAGATATCTACTAGTTTCTATATTTTATCACTATCTCCAGAGAAGGCAATGGCACCCCACTCCAGTACTCTTGCCTGGAAAATCCAATGTACGGAGGAGCCTGGTAGGCTGCAGTCCTTGGGGTCGTGAAGAGTCAGACATGACTGAGCGACTTCACTTTCACTTTCCACTTTTATGCACTGGAGAAGGAAATGGCAACCCACTCCAGTGTTCTTGCCTAGAGAATCCCAGGGATGGGGTCGCACAGAGTCGAACACGACTGAAGTGACTTAGCAGCCAGTACTACAACTTCTTTCTAAGTATGCATCTTAGAGTAGGAAAGGATCTTAAAACAGGGCATTCAATCTAGCCTGCAATTCATTCTTCTTTTACACTATTCATTCATTCAAACAAATATTATTCAGCATCTGCTTTGCTAAAAAGTGATATCATGAACATAGTGGCTGCTCAATAAACTTGATGTGATATACAGTACATATATATGGAGGTATACATGCATTTATATGTTGGGTTAAGAAAGCAATGAGCTGGCTCATGTAGTAAGTACATATGACAAAACAGTTAAGTTCATATCATTTCAGAATCCATACCGTTTCACTCTTCAGCAAAGCCAATCCAATTTGGTCTGTGTGAACTTTCCTTCCCATCCCAAATCTCTGTGGTCCATAGTAATTCACAAACCCTTTGTTCTATAAACACACAAAAAATCAGTTAACTAAAAATATATTACTATAGACTCATGTCTGTGTCCTCCCAAAAGTCACATGTTGAAACCCTAACCTCCAGTGTGATGGTATCTGGAGGTGGGGACTTGAAGAGATAATTAGATCATGAGGATAGCGGCTTCATGAATAGGATAAGAACTCTTTATAAGAAAAGGTGGTGGAGCTGGCGGACTCTCTTTCTACTACATGTGAATACAATAGGAAGACCAGGCAGGCATCCTGATCTCAGGCTTCTAGACTCCAGAATTATGCTAAGTATGTTTCTCTTGTTTAAAAATCACCTTGCCTATGGTTCTTTGTTACAGTCTCAAACTAAGATAAATAAATACAATTATTGTGTCAAAATATGTAACCAAGTCTTTGTCTTTATTGTAATAAAAGAATCCTGTAATTGGCAATACACACATGGATACCAAGTGGGCTGAGAAACACTATAATGGTTAAAGAATACAAAGGAAAAAAATAAAATGATTGAAAATTAGAAAATAAGTGAAAAAACTTTAAAAATATGTGACTTTTCCTTCCCATTACTGAGGCATTTTCTGGCATATGGGACTCTTGGTGCTAAAATCAGGAAAGTTCTGGGAAAACTGGGATGAACTGGTTACCTAGTACTGCATCTGTTCTGATCCCTGAAGCTCCTTCTGATTTCAAGGATTTGGCTGTCTGCAGATGCTTGAAATATGAAGCAGGTTTATTTTCAAACCCAGCAAGTCCTGGCTTTTTTGTGTATAATGGTTGGTTTTTTTATTATCTCAGTTTCTGAAAGTCTGGGCCAAGACAATGGCACAGCATCACTTCAGTAGGAACAGAAAATTGGTATTTACTACTGCAACCATTGAGGACAATGGTCGGTGGTTAAACATGTCCTCACAAAGCAAACAGGCCCATATGGTTTCCAGAAAGACAAAAGAGCTCTCTACACTCACTCTATGGGGGGAATATATTAATATATTCATTCAATGATGATTATCGAGCACCAACTTCAGGACTGTTCAATAAAAGATGCAAATAAAAGATAATCTGTAATCAGCATGCTACACAAGGAATTGCATCCTGACCTCATGCCACTAAGATCAACTGCAGATAGAATAAGTACCCCCTGTATTAAGTCTCACAGTTAAATACTTTTAACTATTTCAAATTTGGAAAAATAATATTAGACAATATCCTAAAAACACCAGAAGAGTTTTAAGTACCCCTGCCAAGTTATTCAGGGTTGATTACAATAAAATGTTTATAGCAATCTGAGTTATAACCCTTTAAAATAAAACTCCAAAGATTTCTTATTTTCAGGACTTCTCAGCTCACTTCCCCTCATCATGAGAACTAAAGGACAGTTGGCTAAATCTAAGATTATTCCTATGGAGATTTAAAAATGTATATGAATAGGTACCAAATGAAAGATGGGCAATAAATGACATCAGAGTTCAGAAAGCCCCACTCCCTTTTATAAGAGACATCTTTCTAATAGTTTAACAGGGGGAAAAGAAGAAAAGAAAAAAGAATCTTAGGTAGGTCTAGAGAAAAGGAAAAAATAACTATATGAGGATTTTAAATATCTTTGGGGAAAATATTTCCCTGATGTTAGGTATAATAGTGATTAAAATCTGGTTTCTGTTTGTTTTCCTGTTGGAGAGGCATAAAATTGTATGAAAAGGATTTTGTGGTTAGAAACTTGCAGCAGAGTTTCTCAATGTTAGTTGTAGAGTAGAATCACTTAGGGAGATTTTTTTAAATGCTAATGCCTAAGCTACATCCCCAAATTTTCTTATTCAATTAGTCTGGGAGAAAAAACAGATTATTGAAATTTTTTAAAAACACCCTAGGTTGAGAATTTCTGGTCCAGATCAGGAGTTGGCAAGCTATTTAACTGGCCCACAAATCAAATCTGGCCCCGTAACCACTGTTTCTGTAAAGTTTTATTGGAAGACGGCCATGCTCATTCACTTATGTATAGTTCATGGATGCTTCCACACAATAGCACTAGAGGAGTTGCAACAGAGACCATTTGTCTACAAAACACGAACATTTGTTTTCTGGCCCTTCACAGAGAAAAGTTTGCTGGCCCACAGTCTATATGATCAGAATGAAGGCTATGGCTATATGTGCACATTTAGATGCCCAGCAAATATAATTTTAAAACTTACAGTAAGTAATTTTTTTACTGTATGAATAATAAAATGTATATGATCTGCCATGGGCATACATTGAAACAAAATTCAAAATTAGATTGAAAAGAAAAAACATTCTGAAAAGTAATATAAAAACTATTTACCAAAGATTTCTGAAAAGAAATGCTGAACAAAGTCTCCCCCCATATTAATCTCTTTGCCTGTAATACTACTCTAAATGGCAGACGCTTAAAAAAAAAAAAAATCTGTCCTTTTAAACAGATAGATTTTACCCTTCCAACTGGAGGAGCCTATACAATATTTTAATTACACTAAAGTTTTCTTTTTTTCAATACAAAGATATATACTAAGAAGAAAAATTAAAAATAAGTAAAATGGACCCAATTATCATTTTTTAAAAATAATTATACATACACATAAAAAGAAAATATACAAAAGAAAAAATTTCCCTTCATATCTCAATGTAAATAAAGATTTTCCTAAAATACTCTACAGTGCAGTTTTCTTACCTTAACATTTTCTATTGCCTCCAAAATTCTCTCTCTCAGGTTTGCAGAATCATTTATTTGATTTTTTAAATTTCTGATGACAATATCAAAGTGATTTCCTTTCAGCTGACCAAGTCTAAGGGAATCCTCTACCGACCGAATGTTAAACACATTCATTCTTTTCTTTTCAACTTCTTTTTCAATATTTTTCAACCTATAAATGATAAATCATTTATCATTTAGATTCAGTTAACTCTTAGATTTAAAAAATGGTTTGTGTTTAAACTAATGTTAAAAATTATTAATATGTTCAAAATGTTAAAAATGTAAAAAATTAATCTAAAATAAAGTTTAAATGACAGATGGCAGACAATCACTTATACTGGAATACTGAAAACCTGGGGGATTATTTCAAAAACACATCTTTCATTTATTTCAACAAATGTGCGCTAAAAACCCTTTATCATAGAATTACATTAACAGACTTATTCTAAGAACTGGAACACATATTCCTAATGCTATCACTCTGTGTAGCCTTCTGACTTCTCCTTAGTTCAAGTGATAGAACCTCTTAGCTGTTCTTTGCTCTTCTGTCCTTAAACTGCTCTTTTCCTCCTCAGTTTTTCTCCAATGTTACCAAAAAACCACAAGCGCCAGAGGACTTTCCTAAAATTCTATTCTGAACACTTCCTTACTCAAATTTTCAGTTCTTCACCAATATTAGATTCCAATTGTCTTATCCTAACTTTTAAGATCCTATAAGAACTGATGTAAATTTTTCTTTACATCTATATTTTCTGTAGTCCTTAAAGGAACCATCTGCTTTATCAGGCAGACTGTTTAGCTTACAGGCCCTCCAAAATATCTTCAGATTTTCTGCATCTGCTAAAATCTTACTATTGTTACAGGGTAATTAAAATTAAGCCACAAGCCAAATCAAACTACTCTATCCTCCTAGAAACTAATAAAATATTTTGTCTTTGGTAGTTAAAAAACAGTTTTTAACATCTAAATACCTTTCAACATCTAAAGTCATTCCTTCTTAGTACAGTATACTTCCTGATCACAGAGACAAAATCATAAACACTTTTCTGCCCCTCATATAAGAACTTAAAAATATCTACCAGAAAATAGTACTTAAATATCTGATGACTAAAGATTAATATATTTTGAATATGTCAAGTTAGGTAGAATTTTAGTCCAATGATTCAACTTTTTTGAACTTTACCTTAAGGAAAGAATCCACAAGGCACAGATTTAAGTATAATAAAATTAATCACAGTAGTATTTATAGTGAAAAATTGGGACAAATTTCTATATCCCAAAATAGGGGAAAGTTAAACAAATTAGTCCATATAATGAACATGACTTTGAAATATTTCATGACAAAAATTTTCATTAAAAATACTATTTTATTTTTATAAGTAAAATACAAATTACATATACAGTACGATTTTCACATATATAAAAAAGCCCTCTGTAGCATCTGCATATATCATAGTCTCTGAAAAATGTCTGAAACAGACCAAAATGTTTTTGTGGTTATTTCTGTGTAAGAGAAATTTTAGTGACATTTAATATACTTTTATATTTTTCTAAATCTTCTACAATAAACATGTATTACTTTTACAATAAAAGAAGTTTATTTAGAAGATAATTATACTATTAATGCAGAATATGCTGCTCAATAAGCCTATAATCAATTACTATTGATAGTGAGGTTAATATGCTCCCAGCATCATTCTCAGTTTTTAATCTAGTATTTATTTATTTGATGCAATAAGAAAATAAAGTTCTATCCTTTAAACATCTTATTACCTCTCGGGTGTTACTTTTCTAACCACCATCGCTTGATAAGTGATGGCTTTCTTGTCTTTAAGTCCTGCATAACTAAAATCCGAAGGAATCACGCCAAGTTTGACAGCTAAAAAACCAACAGCTTCAAACATTTCTAGATTTTCTTTTCGTAGGGTAAAAGCTGAAACAAACAAAAAATCCTCAATTACAAAAAAAGGCAGCTAAATACATCATTTACATTCTTAGCAAACTGACAGATCATTATAGTGAATCAAATCATTAATTTAGATGAGTATTTTTTAATCAAAATACAATCAGTAAAATACAAACCTCACAGATTTCAGCTCTCATTCTTAAAATGCTAGTTGGTTCACTAAAGGCTTACAGAAAAAAAATCCACATTCCCTGATTAGGCATTCATATTGGCCCTAATCCACCCCTCCAGTCTGCACTGGGCTATCTTATATATCCTATAATTGTAACCCAGAGAACTTGTCACAAGCCTTGGATGAACTAAAGCCTTCCACTGCTGTGGACTTGTGTGCATTGAGGTCCTTTGTCTAAAACACACGCTCCCTCCATTTATTATTTGCCACACTTCTTTTCATGCTTCAAGATCCAAGGCCCACAGCAATTTTCCCTCAAATTCCTTCCAGGTTCTCAAGGCTGAATGGTCCCAAAGTAGTGATCATGTTTGTTTTATTGACCATTACACTCTCAGGCTAACACATAGTAAGTATTCAAATATTTGTTGAATAGATGAAAACAGGAACGCTACAAGGAGTTAATTACTTAAACCTACATGTCTTCACAAGCTGTCGTTATCTACATCATGACACTGAACACCATGCCATAATTTCTCTCTGTAAGTTTATGTACCCCGTAGACTGGGAGTTCCAGGCCAGGAAATCAGTAAATAAAACAGGGCTTGTTGCCTCATGGTAGATCCTTCAAATGTCTATGAGATGAGAAGGTGAGAATGAGATCGCAAAAGTGGAAGGAGGAACAAGCCCAGTAATAATTACCACCAAGCACCACCCCCCACCCCCACCAACTTGTTGGCCTATATAACCTGCCAACATTGACAGCAAGAAAATATCTCAGTCCTCAGTGCACCATATAAGACACTTCAAAGGACTGCCCTCTTCCCTCAGATCATGGAAAGGAAATTCAAAGTAATCTGCAGAATGATCTCTATTTTGTTCAACTCCTGTAACCATCATCAGGAACTACAAGAGTCTCTCTGAAGAGCACTCTAAGAAAAATGAACGTTTAACATAAGCCTGACTCAGGAAGTAGAAGGGTGTGAAATCTATCTATCTCTGAATAAATGAAATAGCTAAACAAAAGCTTATAATATCTGCTCTTTAGAAATCATGTTTAAAACAAAAGAAAAGAAAGATCTATATGTTCTTTATATCTATGAAGAATCTCTAAAAACATGGAAACAGCAACTTTCAAAAATATGCAGGGCGTATATTATTTATGAAAAGTTTTTAAAATCTGTAATAATGATTCTATATTTGAACATATTATAAAATGAGCACCACAATAAGTCTAGTCAACATTTATCACCACACATAATTACAAATTTTTTTCCTGTGATGACAACTTTTAAGATCTATTTTCTTAGCAACTTTCAAATATACAATACAATATCATTAACTACGGTCACCATGCTATACAGGCTTCCTGATGGCTCAGTGGTAAAGAATCCACAGGTTTGATTCCTGGGTCGGGAAGATCTCCTGGGAAAGGAAATGGCAACCCACTGCAGTATTCCTGCCTGGGAAATCCCATGGACAGAGGAGTCTGGCGGGCCATAGCCCATGGGGTCCCAAAGAGTCGGACACGACTTAGCAGGCCACAGCCAGAGGGACTGCAGAGTTGGAAATGACTTAGAGACAAAACAATAACAATCATGCTGTCTGTACACTATATTCCAGGACTCATTTATTTTATAACTGGCAGTCTGTACCTTTTGACCAACTTCATTGATAAATTCATATTTTTAAAAATTCATTTTAAATTGCCAATAAGTTAAACATAATTACAACATAAGCAAAACCTGTTTGAGATCCATAATAATTTATAACAACTATCCTAGTCCTGGAGCCAAAACTTTGAGTAACAATTAGTAATAATGTGAAAAAAAAACTAACAGTATTTTAAATACACCAAACCTATGGAACTAGACAGACATCACTAAAATATCTTAAAAGTTTAGGAAGAGCCTGGCTAGGAACTGAAAACTGTGAAAAACAGACCAAGAAAGTGTATTGCATAGAGTAAAAATCAGAAACTGATATCAGGGCTTAGAAATCTCTCAAAAGCCCTTTTGATGATTATAATGAATGCAAAATTTCAAGAATCTCTTCTTTAAAAGATGGACATGGTCAAACGAAGGAACTCCCTGAAAGTCTGCAGGATTCTTTCCATCGGCTATGAAGTCCCGCTGTTCTACATTACAAGGTATTCTCTTCACTTCCCCAAGTACAGCAAACATATTTTCCTTCTCTCCAAATACTTAAGATAACTCTCAAAATATGAAATCAAGATTCACCCCTGTGAGATTTATTAAACAAAGTAATTCTTTAACTTTATACATTTGTGACTACATTAACTCTAAACATGTGTTAATCACACTTTCATCAATAAGGCTAATATTTTACAACTAGTATATTTTGAAAGGCTTATCTTCCATTTCAAAAAGGACCCATATAATGTTTTCAGTATTCCTCTAGACATATCTGTTTAATTCATTTGAAATTACACAGATTTCGCGCAATTTTGTCTAAGTTTACCTAAGAAAATGGTGGTGATATTAAGTTACCTGTGTATATATCTTTTCTTCCTTGGCATTCATGAAGAGACCTCTTCCAGTGTTTGTGTGCTTTCACCCGAAACCTTACAGTTATCACTACACTTGGACTATCAGCACTGTAATTCAGTTCAGGAAAGGATTTGGTTTCCACAAGATTCCCAAACTTTTTGTTGACAAAATGGTGGACAGCTTTCCTGTGTTCTTTGTTTGTATCAGGTTTAAAGGTAAATTTGGAATTTTCTTTCTTTGCATCCAAATATTTAAAAAACTCAAATGCTTCCTCTTCTGATACCAAGTGACAAAGTTCTTTATACTCAAGATTTGGTCTTACAACAATTTCATTGTTTTTTCCTACAGTTATTAAAAAAGGAAATTTCTGCCTAATAGCACTATGCAAGGTAGCCCTCTGGTTCTTGTCAAGGATTCTGCCTAACGAGAATTCAGGAGATGGTCCAATTAGCTCAGTTTGAGAGTCCCACTTCTCTTTTATATCACAGGCAAACTGATTCAGTAATTCATTAGTTTTTTCATCTAACAAGAGGCCTAATACATCAACATTTTCTTCTTCACCTTTGGAAGTTCTATCTCTGACAGTATCTTCCTTTTCTGAACAAGGCACAAAATTGTGGTCATCACTGGAGCTCCCAGCCAAAGTACTGACTTCTTGATTGCTTGTCTCTTCAAAAGATAAAATCTGAAGATCTAGTTTTGCTTTTTTAGCTAAACTATTTGGCTCAAGTAGTACTTTACTAACATTATAAACAGGTTTGTCACTGGCTTTATTAACTAACTCTCCCTGTTCATCAATCTCAATAACAATGAAGTCACTTGGTGAGCTTTTTATGGTGCCATGAAAACCAACATGATCATTTATGAAACACAAAGAACTAAATCTGATTCTGAAATCTGTATCCTCTTCCATTCTTGAACAATGCCTACAAAAGAAACAGAGGTGATCAATTACCAGGAAGAAAAAAAATCCGGATAACAAAAAAAGAAATAGGTTTGCAGGATTTATTTAATTCTGCTTCTCTCTCTCCCTTCCAATTCCGAGTCCCCTTAAATAACATTACTAACTTATTTCTATATATCATGTGTATTTTGACTCTCCTATACCAAGATGGCATGTCTGGTGATTTGCATCTTGACTCTTCACCCACTCCAGGCTTTCATCTATTAAAATTGCAGGATTAAAATGGGTTAGTTTCAAGTTCACTTTTAAATATCATTGGTAGACCAACAAAGAAGAGACTAGAACATACACTTTTTTTTTTACAATGATTTGTCTGAACTCCATCCCTGAAACCTAAAATTTCCAGTTAATTTCAGAGAATCTGTGACTAGCTACTTATATAAGGAGGGATAGGGGTAGGGGAAAGGCTGAGGAGAAGACAGGAAAAAAACAGTCCACATTGACATATAATGAAGTTCTAAAAACAATCTGCAGGATTTCCATGGTGGTCCAGTGGTTAAGACTCCAAGCTTTCATTGCAGCGGGCACAGGCTTGACCCCTGGTCCGGGAACTAAGATCTGCTGGGCATGATTCCGAGGCACATGGCCAAAAAAAATAATTAAATAAAACCATCATGCAATGTGATTAGGCTTCAAGGAAGGCTTATGTTAACCGTGCACCTTAAACCTTCATGAAAGCTCAGATACAAACTTTTTCAGTTGACCCGTAAGAAAATTACAACCATCTCTCTCTGGCATCAGAGAGAAGACACATTTACAGAGCTTCTTGAAGTAACCTTCACTCTTCGCACAACCCATGGCTTCCACATGGAGTTTCAGGAAAGATAAAATGCCCAAGGAACTGGTACTGCTCCATTCTTTGTGTTCATCACGCTCTCCAGGTAATACATCATCTGGACCTGCATCCTATTTCTACAGTGTATTCTATTCATCTGAACCAATTTAGAAAACCACTTCCACTCCATCCTTTCTGTCACATGGAACTCACAGAAATTTCCGAATATTCTACTTTCCTAGGAAATAAATAGGATGTATTTATTTTTCCTCATCTCTTAATTTCCTACAGTTTCTACACAGACTCCTCAGTTTCTTGCCTGAACTGAAACCTGGCTATTTCCCTCGGGCTGCTTCTTCCGTAGTCCTTCTATGTGACAGCTATTTTTCCTTTCATACCCATCTGGGGACCTGGAGGTTGTAAATATTTTCCTTCCAAACCACTTCTTCCTCCTCTACCTCCTCAAATCCCATTTCCTTTGAAGTTCATATCATCAGGCTGTACTGTTTGCTGCCACCCTCTCTCTGGTCCCAGGACAATTCTTCACCCACTAATGACTTTAATACCTAGCTTAAAACCTACTATCCAGCATCACCTCCACGACCATCCACATGGACGATCCATTTAACATCACCGTCCCTCAGTTCCTTAATCTCAACCTCAAACCTTCCACTTTGTCTCCATCTTAGCTTTGATTTTCTCATCACCAGAAGCTGCATCACCTTTAAGCATCCGGCTCTCTGATTACTCCTACTGCCCTTTCATCACCTCTATTTTAATACGTCCATTCCGGAAATTCTTATACACTGTGAAGGCCTCTAATTTCTGCTTCTATTAGTAGTCCACCACAGTCAATTTTCCACATGGTAGCCAGAATGATGATTTAAAAAGGTAAATTAAATCATATCACAACCCCATTTAAACCCTTTAATCACATTTATAATAAAATCCAAATTACCCACCCTGGCTTCCGAAGACTTCTAAGATCCCGAACTCTGTTCTCCAAATTTATCCTGTACCCTTTCCCCATTATCCACTATACTCCAGCTACACTGGTCTTCTTCAGTTCCTTTATGCCAACTGTTCCTGTTGATTAAATCAGTCCCTCTTCAATAATATCCTTAAAGAGATCTTCCTTGACCAATAATCAGAAAAAACCAGCAAGTCACTATTTTTCATAAAATCTTATTTAATTTTCTTCATATCATTGCTATTTAATCTTTTTACTTCACTATTTACTATATACCTACCCCAACTAGAATGTTTGCTCTATGAAAGCAAGTACCCTGTCTGCCTTATTCACTGATTATCTCACAATTAGAACAGAATCAAGCACATAGTAGGCACACAATCAAAACTGATTATTGAGAATTTAGAAAGATGGTAATGATAACCCTATATGCAAAACAGAAAAAAAGACACAGATGTACAGAACAGACTTTTGGACTCTGTGGGAGAAGGCGAGGGTGGGATGTTTGGAGAGAACAGCATCGAAACATGTATATTATCTAGGGTGAAACAGATCACCAGCCCAGGTTGGATGCATGAGACAAGTGCTCGGGCCTGGTGCACTGGGAAGACCCAGAGGGATTGGGTGGAGAGGGAGGTGGGAGGGGGGATCGGCATGGGGAATACATGTAAATCCATGGCTGATTCATGTCAATGTATGACAAAAACCACTGCAATGATGTAAAGTAATTAGCCTCCAACTAATAAAAATAAATGAAAAAAAATAAAAAAATAAAAGGTCAATCAACCAAAAAAACACCTTATTATTGAATAAATAAAAATGACTAGTACAAAATCAGAGCAGTAAGAGTGAAGAAGAAGAAAGAGGGGATCACTTTTGGCTAGAATAATCAGTAAAGCATAATGCAAGAAGTGGCCACATTTTCAAAACAGTTCAGGAGACAGAAATGAGGCAAAGGCATGAGCAAACTATGCAACGTGTTAAGAAAAAACTGAACAACCCAGATACAGAGCAGGAGGACAAAGTGTTTTCTAGCACAGTTCTGGAAAATATGGCCGGATTAGTGCCGAACTAGGTAAAACACTTAATGCCCTGTCAGGGGCTTAGAATCCATTCAGTGGTTAATCGACGGCCACTGGAGGTGTCTGAGCAGAAAAATAACACAATCCTAAAAGATGTTTTAGTAAGATGACTGATAGTACTGAACAGGATGAATCTAGTTGAACAGTTAGAGGAGATCGAAAGCAACAAGACGTGATCAAGAGCTCAGCTGCAGGAAGAAGATATGAAAACATTCTGAGCTAGCGGCATAGGAGAACAATTTGAGAATACAACGATGAGGGAATTACAACCAAGCATCTTAGTAAGAGTGGAACCGTGCTGAAGGGCAGCAAGGAATCCACACAGAGTTGAGTTCCCCTGCAACAGGTGTGTCGGTAAGCCTGCCGGGCGGACTCGGAGGAGGCAGTTTGCTGACCCAAGGCTTGGGAATTTGGGGTGTGGCTAAGGGCAGATTCTAGAAGGATGTTAAAAAAGGACAGTGGCTCCTCCTGTTCCTTCCACCGCCAATGCTCCACCTAATTCACTCCTACGTCCTACTTCTGCCACCAACCAGCAGGACTGTCTCCTGCAGCACAGACTTGAGGCGCTTTCAAAAGCACCCCCGACACAGCCATTGGCTCCACGGGCGTCTTCTCCTCCCCCATCCCCGCCTAACTCAAGGCGCGATACTAGCTCACGTCGCGCTCCTCTTGGGGACAGAGGGTCAGGGTCTCAATGCCAATGCTGTCATCGCCCCCTGCACAAGCCCACGCGGCGCCAAGAAGCTCAGCCCGCTCTACCTCAAGTCCCGCTGCAGGGTTTTCCTCCGCACCTCGCCGTGCGCATGCCCGGAAGCCATAAACTAGCTAGTCTCCGACAGTAGAGTATTTAAAGGGGCAGGCTCCCACTTAGAGAAGAGCCTTTCGCCTTTCTGGAGTTTTTCACGCAGTGGAGCGGCCAAGAGGAAGCACTAAGAGGAAGGGGGCGGAGCGGGGAGGGGCGGGGCATGCGGGAGGGGGCGGGACCTGACGGATTGGGCACGCCCCGGCCCTTAGTAGTACCTGGGTCCTGAGGTCGCTGGCTCAGCCCCACGGCGCCCTGTGCGCCCCTGCGCCCCGCGCCCGGACAGGTAAGGGGTTCCGGACTTGCGCGCCACCTTCTCCGCGAAGTGTCCGAGGTCTGCGCCCTGGCCTCAGGGTTGTGGAGGGACTGCTCGGAAGGAAAATCGACTTCTCTTCGGCCCAAGTGAGAAAAGTTAGAGGGGAAGTAGGTTGCATGAGCAGCGCCTGCTCCAGGATCAAGACTTAGGTACGGGTTCCTAGGGATTAGAAAATTGGTGGGACCCGTGGAGGACCGTGGGGCGAAGAGAGGCGTCACTCGGTGGTTCTGTCGGACCTCGCCTCGAGTTTCTCAACTCCCGGGCTATGTGTTCCGAGAACCCCGTTTACGAAATGAAATCTCTTTTCCTGAGAACCAGGAAGTAGGACCAGCACCCAGCAAAGATGCTGTCCGCGTGGAAAGCATTCTGAACCCCCACAAGATTCTAATTAGCTGGTTTCTCAGGCTTCCGGGAAATTAGAAAGTGGAGCGGTATTGTCAACACGGTATCTGATGGGGAAAGTGTACCGACAGCCTGGAAACAGAGGGAACAAAGGGATGAAAAGCAACCTCAGAAAGCATTTTAGCCATTTAGGATGGGATGCTGGGAAAGATTGAAAGCAAAAGAAGGGGTGGCAGAGAAAGAGATGATTGGATAGCATCACCGACTCAGTGGACATGAATTTGAGCAAATTCCCAGAGATAGTGGAGGATAGAGGAGCCTGGTGGGCTATTTGGGGTCGCAAAGAGTGGGACGGGACTTAGCAACTGAATAAGTGCCTCAAAAACGTCTCTGCCTAAAGAGCTGAGAGCAGAGAATATTCAGATTTGCCTTTTCCCTTTCTGGGGGTAATCCTTGAAGAGACCTGTCAGAAAGTTAAGATTTCTTTTTTCTTTTGTTTGCATTCTAAACGTTCATTTGACGTTTGCTTACCCCTGTCCAAACAAATCCTGAACTTCCAGGCTAAACGTGCTCCTTTCACAGTCTTCTCCATCTTATTGTAAAGGTCAGGAAGCTTGTTCAAGCCAGAAACCTTGTTGCCAACTTCTCACCCTTCATAGCAG